CTTTTTAAGTATTGTTGGATTCAATCTACCAATTTTTAAAGAATTTTTACATCCATAGCTATCAAGGATATTGGCTTATAATTTACTTTACTTATGTCTTCATCTGATTTTGGTTTCAGGTAATACTGATCCAATACAATGCATTGGTAAATGTGCATTCTTCTTTACTTTCTGAAAGGTTTTGTACCATTAGAATTGTTTTTTTCCCTTAAATACTTGGTAGAATGCACCAGTGAAGTCATCTAGACCTGCAGTTTTTTCAGAGATTTAAATTACAAATTGTTTCTTCAGTTGTTATAGCTATTGAGTATTGTATTTTATCCAGTTTTGGTAATATGTATTTCAAAGAAATCATTTTGTCTTTATTTGAAATAAAGTGAATAACTTCCTGTTTATTGACACTAGGATAGTGATTTCATATTCATTCCTATTTGTAATTTTTGTCTTCTCTTTTTCTTGATCAATCTATCCAGAGATTTATCAATTATATTGATCATGTCAATGAACTACCTTTTGTTTTCATTGACTTTTCTCTATTTATATATGTTCCAGTTCATGGATCAAATATTTTCTGTAAAGGGTCAGATGGTACATATATCGGGTTTGTGGGCCACATGTGGTCTCTGTTGCATAGTTTTTGTGGGTTTTTTTATGTTAAAAATGTAAAAATGATTCTTAAGGGCTGTATGGATAGATGCTACTAGCCAGATTCGGCCTAAAGTCTGACCTCTGATCTAGCTCACTGATTTGTGCTCCTACATTTGTTACTTATATCCTCCTACTTATTTTGGGTTCCATTAGCTCGTATCTTTTATCCTCATAATGTGTAAGGTTCGATAATTGATTTTAGATGTTCTTTTCTAATAAAACATTTAAAGCTATAAATTTTACTGTAAGTGCTGTTGCTCTGATGGCATCACCAATACTTTGATATACTGTTTTCATTTCAGTATCATCTGTTTCCTAAATTCCTCTTGTGACTCACTTCCACTTTGGCCAGTACATACACATTTACATAATACTATTTTGATATTATACCTTAAGAATGTCTGAAATAGGGTAGTAGATTCAACTATGTTCAAATATGATAAAAACTTGAAGTGAAATAAACATAATACCTAAGCATTTAAGTGACCATCAGCATATAAAACTTTAAATAAATATTAGCATCTCATGGCAGGCATGATGAACATTTTAATTATTTAGTTTTAAAGCCATTTTAAATACTTTCAGTATTATTAGCTTCAGCTTTTAACTCTGCCTGAACAATTTGAGATGTCTAAGTTTAGACATAGTGGATTGTTTCAGAGTTGCTGGATATGAATCATGTTTTCTTGTTTAATCGCTCAAATTCTAGTTGCTTGAAATGAGAATAGTACCGACTCATAGTGCCCAGTATTTTAGTAATACTGCTGAAGTAGGAAGGAGGCAGTATGAAGTGTCCTTTTAAAAAGACAAAAAGCAAATTGGCTCACAGGTCAATATATTAGGAAGCAAGGAATTTCCTATTTAATGCTCCTGGAAATACTAAGTATAGGAAACCATTAAGTAGAATGCAAACAAATGAAAACAAAGATATTGTAATACCTTCTTAGGATTTCTAAGATTTCAAATGAGTATAGAAGGGGTACAAGCTTTCTTCTTGCTAAAATCATGCAGATTTAATGGGATGATAGTTGGAGAGATAAGCACTAGACAGATGATGAATTCTAATGTTTAAAGGTTCTCTGAAAACATTACTTGGTTTCATAGGAGTTCAAACAGGTAAGGTGGATGTGAAGGAAATTCTGAAAGATGGGAGTTACAAAAATTATTGGCATGACTGCACAACTTAGTATTATCATGTAATTTTCAAGATAACATTGAAAGGCAGGATACACATGAATATTTTAGTTTCTGACATGTTTGTTTATAAAATTGTCATACATTTACATTGCTGCACAATTATCTTAAAAGATGACTGATAAAAAGGAATAAAAGAATTACATGATTGTAATTCACTTCTTTTAATTTAAAATATTAAAGTTTTAAATTTAAATTAAGTCATCATTTTTGTACTTTAAAACATTTTTAATTTAAAATCTAAGAAATATTTGATAAGAAAAATTTAGGATCAAGCTCAATATTGCTTCCCTTTTTCAAGGAAAGTTTTAAAAGGTTTTTTGATATCAATCCTCATACTACTTGACAATTAATATTTATAACATATATGGTCAAGTTATTGTGCTTTAAAAGGAACCATGCCTTGATGAATTCAGAAATGTTATTTTTGATGATAAAATGACAACCCAATAAGACTTAATTTTTTTCAAACAAATTAAAAAATAAAAGTATAATTTCTAATGTTTAGATTGGTCACAAGGAAATGTACATGGCAGCAAAACAGATATCCTTGAACCAATGTCTCAAAAAACTTATCTTTCACAGGTTCTACATATAAGAAGTCAGAATCAAATATCCCCTTTAAAAATGCATGTTTCTTGTTAATTTATTCAACTTAAGGCAGGGACAGGATACAGAATACCAATAATGTCTAATCAAATTCAATTCTGCTTGGAGGTGAAGTGACCTAGCACTCACCTCTCCATGTCCCCTATGGTACAGAATCATTGGGAGGGCTATGAGGTTGGTCTAAATCTAAACCCAATTACTAGGAACATGGTCTTAGTTGGGTCAGGAACCACTCTGGGTTCCACTTACCTCATCCACAAAATGGGTAATGCCTCATAAATTTGCTGTGATGATTAAGACAGCATATGCCAAAATGTTTAGCAGAATGTCTTTGTGGTAGAAACATCCAAAAGCAGCTTTTTTTAAAATTCAGTTTTGATCATCACAAGGATATAGATTCCAAGCTATATATAAAAGTACTTGAGTAAATACTACACTGAGTTTAAAACTAACAGGAGTATGAATAGGAATTCCTTGTGTAGAACTATTTTTGTCATGTGTCAAGTATGTCAATATTGTTTACAGTCACTTTCTGCCCTCTTTCACTCATGTGATTCTTTTTTCACCTCTGTGTGCTTTACATCAAACAATTTTTTTAAGTCTACCACCGACTTTTGAAGTTTTCATAAATACACTGGCTTCACCTCTTTATATACATCAAGAATAAGTAGGGAAAAGTTATATATTTCCACTCTTGTTAAATAACGAACAGAACTTTCAGCTACAATTTGTCTTTTTACATTTTTGTTTTAAGATGTGGGGAAAATGGCATCATTTAATGTGGAAATATAAGGCAGATGGAAATATCCAGATTCACTTCCAACTGAGAGATAATTGGGGTTATGAATGCCATTCCTACATCACTTACAGAACGATCACACATGGCTGTCACTTTGTTGTCCTGATGAATCAATTTACTTATTCTTTAAAAATTGCACTACACAGTGAACACATTAACCATATGTAATTGAGATCTTTCTAGCATACTTTTAAAAAGCTTTTACTATTGGGTCTGAACCAAGGTATCCAATGAATGTTAGGTATTTTCATGAAACATGATTTTTCAAAGTTGCTTCTCAGTATGAATTTTCTGATGCTTAACAGTTTCTGGAAATATTGCTGAAGGCTTCCCATGTTTAGGACATTCATAGTTTCTAGCCTGTATGAATTCTGGGATGTGTAATGAAATTTTGATCACTGAAGTAAAGTTTTCTCATTCCATTAGAAAGGTTTCTGTTCATCATGAACTCTCTGATGAACAATGAGAGTAGACTTCTTGCTGAAAGCTTTTCTACAATCACCGCATTCATAGGGTTTTTCTCCAGTATGTATTCTGTGATGTACAGTAAGGTGTGACTTCTTGCTAAAGGCTTTTCCACACTCAATACACTCATATGGTTTCATCCCAGTATGGATTCTCTGATGCACAATGAGTTGTGATTTCTGGATGAAAGCTTTTCTGCATTCACTGCATTCATAGGGTTTCTCCCCAGTATGAATTCTTTGATGTTCAATGAACTGTGAACTCCGGATAAAGGCTTTCCCACAATCGTTGCATTGATATCTTTTGTCCCCAGTGTGAGTTCTCTGATGTACAATGAGATCTGACTTCTGAATGAAGGCTTTTTTACATTCATTACATTTGAAGGGTTTCTCCCCTGTATGAATTCTGTGGTGTACACTTAGTTCTGACTTCCTGTTGAAGGCTTTTCCACACTCATTACACTCATGGGGTTTCTCCCCAGTGTGAATTCTCTGATGTACAATGAGTTGTGAGCGCCAGATGAAAGCTTTCCCACAGTCATTGCATTCATATGGCTTCTCCCCAGTATGAGCTCTTTGATGAACACTAAGCGTTGACTTCTTGATGAAAGCTTTCCCACATTCATTGCACTCATAGGGCTTCTCCCCTGTGTGTATCCTCTGGTGAATAATGAGGTTTGACTTCTGGATGAATGCTTTTCTACATTCACTACATTTATAGGGTTTCTCTCCTGTATGAGTTCTCTGGTGTACAGTGAGTTGTGACTTTTGAATGAAGGCTTTCCCACAGTCGTTACATTTATATGGTTTTTCCCCAGTATGAATTCTCTCATGTACAATGAGTCCTGACTTTCCAGTAAAGGCTTTCCCACACTGAATACATTTAAATGATTTCCCACTGTTTAGAATTTTCGGTTGTATTAAGAGGTGTGACTTTTGTATGAAGGCTTTGATGTGTTCATTAGACGTTCTGTTCAAATGAATCATGTTTCCCAGTGCACAGCTGTTTACTTCTTCAGTCATTGACTTATGGTTAACGAATGCAGTGTGGTTCAAAAGTTTGTCTTCATTTTCCTGGTGATTTATCTCACCTTCAAGCTTCCATTCTTCAAAAATTGAGTATACGCTCATATTATGGAGCATTACTTCAGAAGGGCTCTTCTGTGGGATTATTTCTTTCATTTTGGGTCTAATTTCAAAGTCTGAAAGAAGGAACACAAAACACAAAACACAAAAAGAAAAAACAAAGAAAGGTCTTCATTTTAATGGAAATAAACAGAAAGCCAATAAAGAGTATGGTCAGCTTTGAAATTTAAGAGTATGACCTTAAAACCCAAAAATAGGGGAAGAAACAGACATAAAAAGAAGTGAGCAGGGAAGCAATAGATAAAGAAGAGTTGAACCCAGTGTCACATTCCCATATGTCCCCACACACTTTTGCCCCACCCCTACTCTACCACAAGGCTCTGTGAAGAGCAAAATCAGACCAAAAAATAAACTTCAGGAAAGACAGGGTAAGGATGCCAGCAAAGGAGACTGAGGGCAAGTTGAAGGGACCAGCAGAAAGATTAAATCCACACTAAATATGAAATACTTTATAAGTAACCAGGCAGATAAGAGCACAACAACTACAGGGAAAGGATTTCAAAGTACATGTATCTTAATGGGTCAGATAACATAAAAAAGACATGGGACAGAACCAGCTCTATTTAAAGGGGGCAATCCTGAGTTACAAGAAGAGGCAGTTTCAAAGGAAGGAAAAAGGTTAGAAAAAAAAGAACTGCCCTCTGGTAATTTGGTGGTAGTGATGGGGAGAAGGAGAAGAAGTGGAGAAATTTAGGGTAACGGAAGACAAAGCAACCACAAGACCAGAAAAATCAAAACTCTTTCTATTCACAAAAAGAAAAGGAAGGAAGTACTTGGACTTTAAAGTACTTGGACTTTGCTATACTAACAGAAAAGGATCCCATAAATTAGAAATCTTATAAAAATATCATGCTATAATAAAAATGAACAGAAGAAAAGTAAAGTCCATTGAGTACTACTATAGAAAATCAGGAAATCAATTTGTACAGATATCAACAGAGGAAATTTTCCCCTGCAGAAAACAAAAACAAAAACTAGTCAAAAAGAGAAGAAAATTTTGTCTGACCTCTAAACAGAATTAAATAGACTCAAACAAGCATTTGAGGACAAGGACAACCATCATGAATCAGAAATTCAAAACAAAATCAAAAGTTGAAGTGGACAAAAAACTGGGAGAGATAAAAAGAACTCATCAAGCTTGTGGAAAAAATCAAGGTTAAATTAAAAGGTGTGAACAGGGGGAAAAGGAGAATTCAACAAGCAGCATTGAAGAAAGGCAAGAAAACAGCCAAGATAATAAAAATAAAGAATCAAGTAAAAATGTCTTAGAGAAAGTAGTGGAAAAGGAAGGCAGGCAAAGAGAATAATATTCCTATTACTTGGAATCCCTGAAGAATTTTTAAAAACAAGAGATTGTAACTCTTTCACACTAAAGGGTGAGGAAAACAGAAGGTAATTGGAAAGGACAAGAATATCATTCAGTAAGTTACTTTGAAAGAGAGCGTGTCTAAGAATTCCTAAATATGTAAGGGGAGGAATATAAGCCTATTTTGGAACAATGGTTTGCTGAGGATGTTAGCCAAAGGGAAGCTAACTAATTAAGAAATGTCCTCCATGTCAAGAGCATAATAAGATTCAAAGTACAGGAAAGAGGGGTTACTTCTTCTCTAAAAGTCAAGCAAAGAAAAAGGACTGTGTGGGTGTTTGATATGTAGCAGCGTCACTTTTTAATAATCCCACACCAACTGTCTTCAGCCACTTCTAGACCTTGGCCTTAAACAATGATTTCATAAAAATATTCCAAAGATAAACATTTTACTAATCAATATGAATCCTACTTCCACATCTCCCATGTAACAGTTTCTCACTTACTTGGACAGGCCCAGCTTGAAACTTCTCCCTCCTTCATCCATAGCTCTCCTTGCTTCAGTAAGAAAAATACATCTGACTTCAGAGATTGATACCCTGTTTATGGGAAATGATAAAGGACTTCTGCTTTAGTGGACATCCAACTATCCTAGAATTCAGATCCATTACATATGCACCAGAATAGCTAAAATTAAAAGGACTGACATTACCAAATATTGATGGAACTCTCATGTGTTGCTTGTAGGATATAAATTGGCATAACTTCTTTGGAAAACTGTCTGGTAGTTAACTAAAGCTAAATATACATATGACCCAGAAATTCCACTCCTATGTATATACCCAACAGAAATGAAATGCTTATTTTCACTAGGAGATATGTATAAAAGTGTCTGTAACAGCTTTATTCAAAATGGCGCAAATGTAAAAAAAAACAAATGACCACCAACAGTAGAAAGACAAGTTGATTAATTATTGTATCCTCATTGAATTAAATATGCAACTATAAGGAGGAAAAAACTGTCCATAGTCACATGCAATAACATGCATGAATTTCACAGATATTATGTATTATGAAATAAACCAAACTCACACACTGTGTGATTACACATACATGAAGTTCAAGAACAGACAAAATTAAGCTATGGTGATAGAAGTCACAAGTTATCTCTGAGAAGATAAATGGCATGGGGCTTAGAGGAGCCTGCTGGGGTGGTGGAAATGTTCTACATCTTGATCAAAGTAGTGGTTAAGTAGGTATACATATGAAAAATGCATCAAGTTGTATATTCAGCATTTGACACTTTACTATACACATTATACCTCATTTATAAAACCTAGGAATGTGGGTACAGCCCACTGTCTTTAACTTCCAAAGAATGAACAGGATGCAGCATCCATTTTCTTTTCATCCAAGTCTACTGGAGAGGTAGAAATATGGTATTTGGTACTCAAAATTAATATTCTTTTGACCCTTATAATTTGAAATGAAGCTCATTAAGCATTCAGAGACTCAAAAGCTTTTCATAAACCAAACAGTCAGTCAGGTACTATGGGGGATTTAATATATGTCCATACATTTTTTGACACTCTTCCCTTAATTCTCCTCCCCTTGAGCATGGGCTGGACCTACTAATCACTTCTAGTAACACAATAAGGCAGAGGGATCGTCCTGATTTTGGAGACCTTGTCGTGAAAGGCACTATGACTTCTCTTGCTCTTTCTCACATCACTCTCTCTGGGGGAAGTTTGCCGTGTCAGGAGAGCAGGCCACAGGGTGAGGAACTGAGATCCTCTGCCAATGAAGAGCAAGGATCTGTGCTTCCTGTCAACAGTCACGTGAGTGAGTTAATTTAGAAATGGATCTTATACTCCCGGTCAAGCTTTCAGGTAATTACAACCCCTGTCAACATCTGACTATCACCACATGGGAGACCACGAGCCAGAATCACCCAGTTAAGCCATTTGAAATTTCTGATCTCCACAAATTGTTAGTAAAAACCATTTGTGTTAAACCACTAAACTTTGGAGTAATTGCCATGCAGCAATAGTAACTACTACCAGCACCTCTGAGGAAAACTGTCCTTACCCACTGAAACTAGGTTGCTGTAGTTCTCCAGCATCACATCCCTGTACAGGTTTCTCTGAGCAGAGTCCAGCTGCTGCCACTCCTCCTGAGTGAAGTCCACAGTCACATCTTTGAATGTCACAAATCCCTGTAACAGGACATTCCTGTTCACTCTAAAGTGAAAAACACCGGGTGATGTATGAAAGATGTGTGAGGAGTTATTTCTGTTTCCATCATGCAGAATTCATCATAATACATAAAAGATGTGTACTGTGAGGCCAATTTTGCATTCCACTATGTGAGAGAACCAAAAATCTCATTAGAAAAACTTTGCCATTGAGTATCATTCATCTCTCTTTCCACCAACAAGCATTTATTAAGCACCTGTATAACCAGCACTATTTAGTGCTCAGAATACAAATATGAATAAAAGGAAGTTTATAGACTAGTAGATGGAGGCAAACAAGTAAATATTACATGCTATAAGGTGGCAAGGGGGTTATGACAGAAAACTGTGATTTTATTTTGGGATGTTGAGTTGGTTTTGTAGATGTGCAAAATGAATAGTGAAAAATGAAAAATAAAATTTGTTAAGAAAGATAAAATAAAAAGTTTCTGAAATGTAAGAAATGAATAGTGTGTTTGTTGGCAACATGTGGAGAAGCAGAAATACCATTCCAGATGGAGGGAGGAGTAAGAAAAAAGGCATGGGGACATGAGAAAGACATGATAAATTCATGGTAAAGACAAGGTAAATACACTGTGAATACTTCAGTGTAATGCTCTCAACCACTACTTATTCACATAACCACCTTCACAGTTTTTATCATATCTGTATGTCATCTGCACTACTGACTTAATAGTTCTAAACAACTCCAATTTTTTAAATTTAAATAAATAGATTTTGAGAGAGAAAAGTAGTATCACTCATCATAAAATGCATATAACAACAAATAGACATGACATAAAATTTGCTACTTTAACCACTGTTATGTGTATTCAGTGGTATTATGTTCACAATTTGTGCACCCATCACCACTATTTCCAGAACTTTATCATCACCCCAAACAGAAACTCTATACCCACTGAGCAATAACTCCCCATTTCTCCCATAAAACCACAGCCCTGGCAACCGCAAAACTACTTTCTAACTCTACAAATTTGCCTATTCTAGATATTTCATATAAGTGGAATCATACAATATTTGTTCTTTTGTGTCTAACTTATTTCACTGAGCATGTTTTCAAGGTTTATTTATGCTGTAACATGTATTAGAACATCATTCATTTTTATGGCTGAATAACATTTCATTATAAAAACCCATTCTGTTTATCCATTTATCTGCCAATGGACACATATGTAAGTATTTGCATACTGAGATAGTATGGTCACTAAAAAGATACATCAGTAGAAATTCTCATTTTTTATCCCTGTACCTCAGTGGATCATCCTGCACATCTCCTGAGGAAGGCATGCTTCCCACTTGAAGGCTACTATCCTGAAGCTACAGGCTACATAGTGGGTATAACCAATGGAAAACTACAGATAAAAGTTAAACAATATACACATTCAAATAAAAACATTTAAACTGTATGACAATTACAACCCCTAAGATGCTGGCTAGCAGTGTTTAGCTAAGTGATAAACTAACAGAAATGAGCAAATTCATTTGATCTCCACTATTTATCAAGCATGCTCGCTTGATAATACACTTTGAAGGTCTCAACCTACTGCATTTTAAAGGAAAAATAGCTGCTTCACTTATTGGTTAAAAACTGCAAATTAAAACAAGTAGTGTCACTACCATTAATAACACAAATATCCTGGACCGATTTCACAAACTCCCAGGGTGAGAAATGCTGCTCCAAGAATTATAGATTTTATTCATGGATCAAGGCAGACTGATAGCTGTGTACTTGGACCTCATGATTTTACTGCCTGGAAACTGAATTCTGCTTTGTTATCATGCCCTATGTTTATTCTGAGAAATGGTTTAAGAGACAGCTATGAAAAAACCTGCTACGAAATTTATCATGGGTTGGCAAATGTAAAGGACACTTGCCTTCTACATCACGTGTAGGCAGACCCATCAGGAGAGTAACTTCAGACCTAAGTGCCAAAAAAATCTTTAGTTCCCTCAAGAAATTTAACACATTTAATGTATAATGTAAATCTTAAAATTGCAGATGAAATCAACTTTAAACAACTATGACAAGTACTATATAATTTGTATGTCTACATTTCCTTGGTCTAGATCTTCTATTTCATTTTACCTGATGTTTACATTTTTTTCATTTAATTGAATTCTTTTAAACTGCCTCAAACACAGTGGAAAACAAAAAGCTCACTTACCTGAGACTTGGTCATTTTTTGTTGCTATTCAGAAGGGGCAGATATCTGTAAAGACAGAGCTGGGATGAGCAAGGAGAGATTTAACAGAAGACAGCCTCGAGAGTCTAGGTCTGCCCTCTTATTCCCAGAATCCTGAGCCTGGAAATCCCTATCAATAGCTACATAAAAGGTTGCCCTTTGTTACGATTAGCATGTGTAATGTGTGGGGGGGGCACGGGGAGGGCTGTACAACACAGAGAAGACGAGTAGGGATTCTGCAGCATCTTACTATGCTGATGGACAGTGACTGTAATGGGGTTTGGGGGGGACTTGGTGAAGGGGGGAGCCTAGTAAACATAATGTTCTTCATGTAATTGTAGATTAATGATACCAAAAAAAAAAAAGATTGCCCCTTTTAGGCTGCTCCTTTGAAAGGTTCCTCTTAGAGAGCCCACAGAGGATTATGCTGAAATAACATCAACTTACAGTTCTGAAAAGGTCAGGACATTGTATGTTTTTCCTTTGAGAATGTGAATGTTTGTATTCCATTGTTTTAAAAGTTTCTCCTTTGACCCCCGCCCAAATCTATCATTAGAAATTTATTCTAAAAAAAAATAAGCATAGATGTATGCAGAGACATTTTTGCAAGGATATTCATAATAATGCTGCTTTATCACTTAAAATGTAGAGACTGCCTAGATGTTCAACAATAGGATTGGTTAAATTAGTTATTGAAAGGATAGAATACTACACAGTCTTTAAAATTGTCTTAGAAAAATATTTATAGACTTGTAAATTTTTTCCTGTTTTATTGTACAAAGCAATAGAAACAGGTTATAAAATAAATATATTGAAAATAAATATATTTGAAAGAAAAAAGTGAAAGAACATACATCAAAATGTTATGGTTACTTTTGGGTGGTAAGATTACAAGTGATTTCTATTGAGTTGCATTTAGCATTTTCAGTTTCGAATTCTAGAATAAACAGATTATTTTTTAACTAAAAAATTAGAATTATTCTCAGCAGCTATTGTCCAATTGACCTCTAAACCCAAGCTCCTATCAAGGATGTTCTAAAGAGCACAATTCAGTAGATGGAATGTGGCTGAAAGAAAATAAACAGGGCTTCAATAAGCTGTAATCACTCTTACAATAAATCATTCTTACAACAATCGCTCTCTTCCATCCACTTACAGGGCTCAGTTCAAATGTCACTTTCTCTAGAAAGCCTTTCCAGGTACCTCCTGGAGACATTCAGCCATTCCTTCCTCTGACTTCCCCAGTGTCCAACACTCTGATACAGAGTTTTCTGGTTACAGGTTTAAGGCAAGAGATGATGCAGCCTGTACTAAGACTGTGGCTAAGGAATAGGGAGGACAAACTGGAGAAATGTCAGAAAGGCAAAATCACCAGGATCAGAGGAGGATTGACTGGATATGGGGAGAAGGGTAGGAAGAAAACTAAATGTCTTCAGGATTTTTAGTATGGTCATCTGAAAGAAGAGTGACGCCATTCATAATAATGTAGAATATAGTAGGACACGAGGTAAGGCCTGGAGAAGATGATAAACCCTATTTTGAACATGTTAAGATTGAGTTTCTGTGAGTAAATCTCACAAAGATGTACAGGAGACATTCGGCTACTGTGAATCTGGAGCTTGTTAGAAATGTCTGGGCTGATGCTATAGATTGGCAAGTCATGACTCTTAAAAGTGGAAGCTGACACAATGAGAGTACCTGAAATGAGAGTACACAATGAGAGTCCACAGATTGAAGGACAGGGAGAAGGCAAAAGAGCTTTGAGAAAGGGTTTTTGAGGAGAGACTTCGGCTTTAAGTACTTAACTAGCTACAAAACAGTAAAAGAGATTATAAACTGCCTGAAATCTGTCCACCAGATGGAACCAGGGGTGGAAACATAAACTTTAGGGGAATGATGGGAACGCTCCTCCTACCCTCACATCCTTACGGGTATTAACTCACCCAAGAAAACCTAGCACACGAGTATGCGTGAAGTGCAGCCTGACTGCAAACTGTTATAATTCAGGGATGGAGCCCCAATCACAGATCACGAGCAGCCTGCTCCCCAAGCTATCACACGCTCTTAACAGCTGCCCACTACAGACTGCATTCACAGATCCAAAATAATCCTGAAGACGGACACCTGTCTTCAGGACCCCAACGACTGGTTTCTATGTGACCTCAACCCGTAACTCTGAGAGACCCAGAATTACTCACATAGACACGCCCGATCATTAGCCCCACAAATGCCCGGTCAGTCATTGACCCTCTTCAGAGTCCACGACCAGCAGAGCCACTAAGCAGCGAGCTCCACCGGGCGGCAACCGCTCTCTGGAGTAGGCCCCCTTAACTACTAACCACACAAGACCGGAAATCACGGACGACAGAGACGCTGAATCGCGGATCAAACATCGCACCCTTATTCGCAGCACCGCACGCGGTGACCGAAACCTCCTCTCAGAACAGGATCCTCGACTTGCTGAGCGCTCGACCCCGCCCCTTCCGAACCGGACTCTCCAGGAGTTACGCAGAAGCCGGCGCAGCCCCTGACCTGCTTCTATCGCGAGACTTTCCGAGTTGTTGGTCCGCCTAAACTGGGGAACTAACATGGCCGCGCCCGAGGACCGTAAAGTGTGTAGCGCCATATTTCGAGTAGGTATTGTTGGCCATACAGCAGAGAATTCTTTGAGCAAAGCTGAGACCTGGCATACGAGAGCTGCGGAAAGGATGCACGGGAGCAATGCGGGAGCAAAGACATAAAACTAGGACAGAATTCCTGGTGTCTGAACATGGAGACAGGGAACCTATTCAGCTAAGATGTGTAGAAAATGGAGAAACAGCGTGAGATGCGAAGCAAAGATGGGGAAGCAGGGGAAGCCCCTCCTGTTGTTAGGCAGATGAGAAGAGTTTCAGAGAGCTAAAAATCAGTTGATCTATATCACATCGCTTCAATTTCGCGATCCTGAGGTATAGTAATAATGATGGTAAATGTTCATCAAGCGCTTCCTATGTGTTTACAGAGGTAGGTATTTAATTTAGGTTTTAATTGAGGTGGTGAAGTCAGGATGGAGCAGTATTGTCCCTGGGAGATAGCACTGCGTGGAGTCAGGATGCCTGTCATCTGGTCAACTCCAGCCAGTCACCCGGGAAAATGAGTGCAGATGTCCTCCCCTAGGAATGCTTTACCTGGTTGAGTTGGAAAGACTGCCCTTGCTAAAAACACTTCAGATGGCAGCACAGGGGAGTGTAAGGATGGGGAGAGACTCTGAAGGATGATTCAGAACCCCTAGGTTCTTCTCTCAGCCTCCTCTTGAACTTGCTCTGCGGTTTTGGAACAGCCACTTTCCCTATGTTCTCTCATCTGTAAAGTAGAGGGAGGTTGTAAAATACTCATTTGGGTATTTCAGTGTTTGCTGACGGGAAGAGGAAAGTTTCAGGGGTCAATGTCAGTGAGAAACACTTCAGAAGCCACAGTTTTTAAATAATAAATACCGTATAGTGTTATGGTTAAATTAAACAAACAAGGAGACCGTTGCACTGAGGTGGTTCTAATGCCTTAGCAACCTTCCTAAGCTAACCAGACCCGAGCCTGTAAACGTCCCAAGGTTAAGAAATCAAAACTTAAGGACAACCAATCACAACCAACCAATATAAGGCAACTGCTTAAGCTATAGGCTATAGGCAATCAAATAATTTGTTGCCTTACTTCCTGGTCTTCTCTATTGAAGTCTTGCCCCTGTCTCCTGCCAGTGAGCACTTCTCATCACATCTTGTCTGGTGCTGCCCAATTCAAATCAATTTTTGGTAAATAAACTCTTAAATTGTTAATGTGACTTTGTTTATATTTTAACATCACTACAGAATATCCAGCCCTAACTAATGTCTAAAGACACTATGAATTAATTTTCAGGGTTCACTCAGCTCCTTAAAACCAGATACAGTGGACTTCACGCTTCTGGAATGTTTTCCTCAACCATATGCCAGGAAATTACTATTCATACTTAAAAGCTACATTCCAAAATCCTCTTCTTTCTAGGCTTTTTCCAGAGCCCCAGGGAATCTGTTTCTTTTTATGGGAACAAGTACATATGCCTTCCTCTGTCACAGCCATTGTTGCCTGGGACTGGAATCTCCAGTGTTTGTCATACTCCCCTTTGGTTTGACAGCTACTCAGAGCAAGACTGTGTCAGAATTAGCTTAGTTTCATGTTTTTGCTTTTTTGTGTTTGTTAGATATATATTTATGTCAACTGACTCTTGCTTCATAATATAAAGCACATTCAGTTCTCCAATCACACATTTATTATTGCCATGCTTTGGAATGCAAGGGAGGAGCTCAGAGTCTGATGTTGACAATGCAGTGTCATCAGTCACCTGATGGGCATGATCTGTACTGACAGGCACAGTAAGTGGTGCTTAACTCTGTCAGGGAGTGGGTGGTAGTGTTGGTGTGAGAAGGGGCTCTCAGGAAGGCTCAAGACATGATTTTAAAAACATGAGTCTTGGACAAGGAACTGGAGTTTGTCAGGAAAGCAAGGTGAAGAAGGCATCTCAAGAACAGCAGGTGTAAACCACTTGTCACCTACCTTAGAGCAGACTGATCCCACCTCCACATCTTTGTTCAGATGGTTTCCTCTTTTGGGAGTGCCCACACACTCCTGTTTTGGGGGGAAATTCCTTGCCAAAAGATCAGGAACATCTCCTTTGCCTTGTATGGTCCGAAATGAATAGTTCTTTTACAAGTATAATCTAAATCAGATTGCCCACAATCTACATCGCTTGGGCAAATCTGGCCTGCTATCTGTTTCAATAAATAAGCTTTATTGGAAAGCAGTTTTGCTTGTTCATTTACATACTGTCATTCATTACATTTACTGTCTCTGGTTGCTTTTGTGCTGTAATGGCAGAATTGAGTAGTTTTGACAGAAACCATATGGCCTGCAAAGTCTAAAATATTGACTGTCTATCCCTTTACACCAGAGGTTTGCTGAACCCTGATTTAATTTAACGTTGAGGGAGAAACCATTATTATCCCCTTTTTACAGAGGAGGAATCTGAGGCACCAAAAGGTCACACAGCTTGTTAGCAGTGCAGCCAAGTCCCAAAGTCTGACTCAGAGCTTATGCTCCTAACCATTACACGACAGTACATCTTAATAATGAGTGTCTTCTGAATGTCAATTAATTTCTTCTGGTAAAGAGGCAAAGATATCAGTACCATTTGTCACTCAATCCAGGACAGCTTTGACAGTAAAAAAAAAAAATGTGCTATTAATAATTCTATCTGGACAACAGGCATAAAATCTGTCCTGGGCGATCTAGGATGTATGCTTACCCCAGAGACAGGAACAGAGATACACAAGGTAGAGTAAAACATAGTTAAAATTAAGAAAAATGCCTTATTTCATAAGCCAGATAAGTATACTTTCTTGCTTTGGAATCACACACACATAATACTTTATGGTGAATTTTTATGTTACTTCCCTTAGCTTATGATACTTACCTTACTTAAACAATGAAAATAATTCTTACTGTCCAGATGCTCCAGGTTAATCATGATGTGGGAGAATGTTCTGTTGAATATTCCATTCTACTCTCAGCTGGCTTAGAAAGTTAGAGGCGGCATGGGTCAGATAATCCATGGAAATGGCATTATGCACATGATAAATGTGTAGAATCTCATGTACTACAGATGTGTGATATGCAACTTACTTTGATACAAATTTATAGTCCAAAGATTGCTTTCAGTCAATCAGATACAATCCAGATACATCTGAAAGTGGTGGTTTTTATAGATTGTTATAGAAAAGAGATGCGTCCCTCAGGGGAAAGCACATACATTGGAAAAAACAAGGCACCAAGGATGGAGCCTTGGAAAATACCTACTGATGAAGGGTGAGAAGAAACAGAGGAACCAATGAGTGCAACAGAAGAGAGGGGCCGGGTGGGGTGGGGGAGCAGATCACAGAGAGCGGATCAGAGGAACCAATGGTGAAATAGTTAAAGGAAGAAGGAAGTATCAAATGTCAGATACAACCAAAAATCCACTAAGATAAGGACAAAAATGTCCCTTGGATTTAATAACAGCAAGATATGGCCTTATTAGAAATTGTTTCACAGTAATGAGGAAGAGAGAGCCCTACTTCATTGTACTGAAGCATGAATGTCAACTGGGGAAGTGGAAATGCCAAGATAGTACCAGTTTTCAAGGAGCTTGTGTGTTAAGGGAGAAAAAGATGAGAGTTCAGGTTACAAGCTGGTTATTTTTAACATACAAGGCAATTTAAACACATCAGAGACTGGGAAGAGCTGCAGCAGAAAAGGAGAGTTAAAGGCCCAGAAGAGAGTGAATTCCCTGGTGGAGAATGATCCCAAAGTAGAAAGGACAAAGGTCTCAAGGTATGTAAGAAATGAAAAATGAAGGGAGAAATCAAGAAAACAAAAGGAACTATATAAAAAATGTTTTTAATTCAAAATGGAATAAGAAACAAAAGCAAAATTTAAACTATTACCTGAGAATCACGTCTTCAGATAATTATACAGATCAAAAACCCAATTAAAGAAACAGAGGTGCCTTGATAATAATTAAAGACATGTAAATTAAACAATGAACTTTTTTCCATATTGGTAAAGATTTAAAAGCCTGTTAATACCCAATGTGAAAAGAATCAAGTATGGACTTATTCACATACATTGTAGGTTGCAGACGATTTGGCAATACTTTCAAAATTGAACACGTGCCACAACAATTTAAAAAAAGAAAAAGTTGGTGGGCTTACTGTCATTCTACCTGACTTTAAAGCTTATTATAAAGTTACAACAATCAGTTCAGTCAAAGTAAATAAACAGAAAAATGAAACAGAGTTCAGAAATAGACCCCCACATACATATCAAGTTGATGTTTATTTAACCCTTTGTTTTGGTGGTATCAGTGGTGGGAAGAGATGCCACGTGGGGTTGTTGGCAAGTCCCAGTGGAAGAACAACTTAGTTCCTGGGATTCTGGAGCAAGGCCAGTGTCTGAGATGAGCAGAGGTAGCTGAGAATGGATAATGGAGAAGGGAAACAGTGAGTTATCTACTGTGAACCTGAGACCACTATAGCAGCAGGAGCTGTAATTTACCCCACAAATGTCTCTCTCCTAATTTCTCCCCAGGCAGCGAGGGACTCAGATATCCTAGAGGATGGACTTCACAGATACATATAGAGAAGTGTATCTGAGCAGAGCAAGGGATGGATTATGATAGACATAGAGTTGCATATCCAGATTCTTCTTCAAGGAACGACGTGCTATTCAGCTGTGGGGAGTGCGCAATCAAAAGACAACTTATAGCTGTCAGCTACTTAAAGATGGGCCTCAGCTACAGGGAGCTGCCTCGCCCAAGGTCATGCCCTTTGCAGGGCAGCATCCATCTGGTGAATGAGGAAGGTGGGTGCATAAAGGTCCAATCAGGGCACTTGTGTGGGAAAAACAGTCACTCCAGAGCTTCCCATCACTTTAGCAAAGGCTTTGTTGGGCCTGAAATGTATT